AAACCGCGCGCGCGCGTGCACCCCGCGCGGGCATTCCGCGTCGCTTCATGCCGCGAGCGGTAATCTCGCGTTAACGCTTTGCTTCATTAATATGTTTATAATCGTAATGACGCATCACTGGTTGTTAAAGCATTCTATTGTGCGCGTTCGTTTTAAATCATTATTACGCGATAATATCAAGAGAATTATTAATTAATTATGCTGCGTGATATCGATAACGAGCCGATATTGTATCGGCGATACCAAAGCCGTATTTGTTGCTCGCGTTGTCGCTGTAACAAGCGTCCATTGTTTTTAAAATAAAAGAGACCAGGGTGATACAACGCCACACCGCAATGGAAACTCGACGTATGATCGAAAGGCTATGCCCCGAATAATAGCCGAGGACGCGTTGTAAAATTCACGACGGTTTTTCCTTGCCCGAAACTGAATTTTGGTCGAAATGATACCGTCGAAAACTTCGATAGAATGACAACGGAAGACGACGTTCAATTACGAAGTACAAAGGATCGGTCGACATCGGTCCGTTATTCCCGGTTGCCCGTACATTTGTTTGTCCTCCATAAGACTGTCTGGGATGGATGACCATTGTTCTTACAGATTGGGACTTTCGCGAGGATTAATGAGAATGGCTCCGCCGTCCATCGAAATCCGATTGGGACGCCCACTCAGACCGTTTAATATCGTGTTTTTTCCTCACATCCGGAGGGTGTGCCCGTGACAACTAATGCTCAAGAAAACGAAATGATATTGGATACACGTGTAAATAAATATATATAAAAATAGAGTAACGAGGGTAGCATTCGTACAAAATTTTCGAACAGTCCACGTGGAAATAATCGCGAGGGAGATTGACATCTTTTTTCCAACGGACGAATCGAGTTTAAAGGGATTCGATTCTTTTTCGTCTCGACGTAAGCTGCTATTTATACGGGTGATACGATTGAGAAATATCGCTGTTGAAATTCTTCCGAGGCGCAATTGGCGAAAGACGGTCGTTTCTTTCCGCCCCCGGTCTCTCAACGGAACTAAAGTTTCCGGTTACGGAGTGGACGTTGGTCACGACTTTTACGTTCCCGCAACTCTTTTATCACTACTTTACGCGACGCTACACCCGAAAACGTCGGCGCCCACCTGGCCACCTAAGGGTTTTGTGCGATATCTCGTGTTTCGAGCACACCCGCAACTTTTGCTCCAAGCGAAACGGTGCACTTAGACGAAATAGGTAGATAGGTGGGCGCATGTGTGTGTGTGTGTGTGTGTGTGTGTGTGTGTGTGTGTGTGTGTGTGTGTGTGTGTGTGTGTGTGTGTGTGTGTGTGTGTACTCATGCAAGTGCATTTACACATTGACGTCATACAATCTTTCGATAAATATTACTGAAGGTTAGAATGATATAAAATATTTCAAAAGTAAACTTAAACGTGAACTTAAAATTTTTCTAAACAGAATAGAGCATTATCAATATTGGGCCAAAAGTCAAG